GGTGTTGGTCGATACGATAACTCGCTACTACCAGGATCTCGCTAGTGGGTCCCTTAATCCCCAGTCACCCTTTAAAAGGGAGAGTAAATAAGATATTTTCTCTCTCCTTTTCGCATGCCTTCGTGGTATAACTGGAAGCACGCTTGACGCGTATTCGAGAGGTCCGAAGTTCGAATCCCGGCTAGAGCATTGTACATTTTTCATGTTCCTGAATCGATGCAACCTAATGACTCTACAACAACAATCAGACATTTTATCTTAAAGCGTCATACACACAAGCGTCCATCTCTCTAGCCTCTTAGCCATCGTATACTTTGCCTTGTTTGACTAAAAGTTCAAAGTAATTGTACAACTTTCCATTATTTACATCCGAGATTTAACTTTTCGTCTGTCCACATAACTTCTATTGATTCGGCTTCTACTGTACATCTTATTATTTAAAATGGCTCACAATAAAAATATGATTTAGTCATTTTACATTAAGACCGTAGTGGTTTTCAAGGAATGGTTATTTTAATTACAAACAGCTGTGTATTTGTATGTAATTTTCGGTATGTAAGTGATGCCAACAACTCATTGAAGACACAAAGGATAATTTTTACATAAAAAAGTTTTATTTTCGATCTCTTTATTTTTTATTAGATTCTATCCGCCTTCAGCTACTTTTCCATGTAGTTGTTCTTGAAACATTTGTCGTGAAAGCTGACTCAAGATTTGTAGACCCGTGTCATAAAGATGCCTGAGAAGATATCCATTTCTAAACCATTGTTTTCACGTCGGAAATGCTTGCCGTCGAGGAACTATTCCAGGTGCAACATGATATGGCATATTAGTCTGTTAACCTCAGGTGTGAGATGCGTAATGTGTGATCTAGTCGCTGCCAATTAAAAACGTTGACAACAGCTTTGCGTTTGAGTAAAACAATATCAAAATGTCACACTGTCATGAAGAAACAGACTTCAGGAGACATCATGCCAGTGCATTTATTCTACAGCAAAATTTCCACAAAGACAGATAATATGCAGCAACATTTATTGTTGCCTCTTGTGGCAAGAAGTCCACCAGAAAAACATGGTACTGTTCTAGAATACGGTTACTGTAATCTTGGGAACTGAAACTAACTGTTTAAATTTCGCTGCTGCCGACGGTAACGAATGTCGCCGTTTCAGTGATTACCACTTGGAATTTGATGTTAAACGAAGTACAAATGTTTCGTTACCCTCATGACGATGCGGCTGAACAGTTTATCGCCTTCCTTATGGTGTCAAGTCAAAAACATCAAAACACTGGCCAGATCCTTTGTTTCTTATCCTCGGTAAGCATCCTCAGAATCCATCGAAGACACAACTTCCTGTAAAACGAAGCTTTCTTACATAATTTTGCAAACCGTGAAATTCGTAGGAATTTCAGTAATAATATGGAAATAATCAGGCATCTGTTTTCACGAATCATGATGTTTATAGCCCTCACAAGATCAGCTATTAGGTGGGGAGTGTTGCGATTTTAAACATTCATATATTCATATGTTGCCACGGTTAACTAGCTTTTAGAAAGTTAATTTGAATTGTGAGTCAGCTATTTATCTTCTAACAACACTCAGAGCTTACGATTACATATAAGTTAACAACCATAGGAGATAAAATGTCAACTATGTGATTATTTTTTTAAACCAAAAATAGTGACTTATGTTTCCTTTTTCCCTAAATCTTACGCTCTGAAATCACTTCAAAGACAATTAGAAAGCTCTTTTAGCATGCTAATAGATTCTACGTTTAAAAACATGATTAACTGCTATTTATATCGAATTTTAGGAGAACTTTGTTCCGTAAACAAAGCCTGTATTGAAATCAATAGGGTGTTTGTATGATTTTGTTTTATATTTTTCCTTTTGGATGCAAAAAGCAAGGGCAAAATTAATAATAATAATAAAAATCTGAAAGATTTCAGATTTTAAATTACGTCCAAAGAGGCGTTTTTTAACATTTTGTGTGTTACCTTTATTTATTAAATATTATGTTCTTTGCACTTAAACTATAAAATTCAGTTCAACAGCAGTGTCGCAAAATAATTTTAAAATGAGCCTATCTTTAGAATTTCCGATACACAGTTTCGCGCGCTGGAGATAAAAAAGTTTTTTCAACCCGTAGGCCGTAGAATGTTGTCATTGCTCGCTTTTAAATCGTTGAGTTTGTTAATCAAATATTCGTTAAAGTTTTACAAAATATGAAACCGACAATAAAACAAATTCCAAATTTCAAATTTGGGCTTTCAGATGCCCGTATTTGGTGGAAGATCACGTTATTCAAAATTGGATAACTGTAGGTACCGTTGTTTTATCACAAAGTGAGAAACATACATACATTTATGCAGATTCTTCATTATTTAATTTCTTCAAATACAATACAGGGCGATAGCATTTGGTGGCAGCGATTTGAAAAGTGATACAGCCTTTTAAAATTTTCAACGCAAAATCGCAAAACGAAAACAATAGTCCTTCAGGGACGAAGTCCTTTCGACTAATAATATGGAAATTTTCTTAAGCTTCCGTGATAGCAACTTGCAAGAAAATTTATTTCACACCTTTTTTTAGTGCAAAAAGGACTCTTAGTCTCGAAAGGGGATTTTGCGTTGGTTCATATAAATGGTGTATCACTTTTCAAACTGTTGCCACCAAATACCTTTATTATTTTTAAACATATTAAATAACGGAGAATCTGCATGCATGTATATAAGTTCCTCGCACTCTGAAAACACGACGGTAGCCATCAAATTGTGAATAACGTAGTCCTCCGCCTGAACATGGGCACCTGGAAGTCCGAATTTTGAATTTTGAATTTAGAGTTCGTTTTATTATCTATTTCATATTTTGTAAACCTTTAACAAATTTTTGATCAACAAAGCCAAAGATTTCAAAGCGAGCAGTGGCAACATTGTATGGAATAAAACATTTTTATCTCCAGCGCGCGATAATGGAATCTCTATCGGAAATTCTAAAGATATGCTGTGTATAATATTTTGTGATTTTTATGTTGAATCGAATTTTAGTTCAAATTTAATTGAATTGAATTTTAGTTTAAATTTATTCTAGTTTCCCCCCCCCCCCTCAAAACTTTGTGATCGATTTTTAAACTTCTTTTTGATAAGATAGCGATTTGAAATTTTGTACACACATTGTTTTTGAACAAAAATATAGCGTGGCAAAGCGATTTTTTTCGTATTTCAATTCTAACCTTTTTTTTTTTTTTTTTTAATTTAATGTTGAAACGATTTTTCGCACGTCTTTGACTTAATGAAAAAAACCTATAAAATCTTAGAACTTTACTCTTTGCATCATAGGATAGAGTTGAAAAAAGTCTTTCAAATGATGTTTGTAGGAAGTTTTTAATCAATTACTGATTTTTGGTAAATGCGCTGGACTTTTTTCGATCATAATTTTGGGTTTATGAGATTACGGCGAAGCCTCGAGAGCTATCTGCCTAAAGGCAGGGATGCTTTCGTGAAGGACTTTCGTATACACGTTACACATGGAGAAAACCCCGAAAACGCCCATGCAGCCAACCTGTTCGCGCGATTTGAACCTCGAACCGAACTACCAGTGTTCAGCGACTTTACCGCTCGGCCGCTAGTGGCTCTATCGATCATAAGAATTCGACGTAAAGAATAACTGAAAGTAAAAGAGCAACTATTCATTGTTGGCAAATCATTTTTCAGTTGAAGAATTTGATGTATAACCTGCAATTGAAACTGAAATAATGAAAATTTAAAAAAAAGATTTTAATAAAATAAGCTTATATTTGAAATTCATAAAATGTCTGATGAACTAAAAGTAGAAAAATAATTTCTCACATAGTTTAAGTGGAAAAAAGAGTTTAAATAATTCTCTTCACAAAATTCATCTGCAATTTTATATCATTAATACCAAAATCTAATAATCAAACTGCATTGCCAAAGTAGACGCCATTCATTTTATAAATGTATAAAGGTCGTCTCGCACTTTTATTATCCGTTATATAAAATTGTAGGTGAATTTTTCAAAGAGAATAATTTCATCTTTTGTTCTCATTAAACTATATTGTTGAGTTCTACGGGTTCGTGGACTTAGAGTAATTGACGATAACACTTGATGAAGAATCAAAACACAATTTATTCACCAGTATTGCACAGGAGAGTTCCAAAGACACGTTTACAGTCGTCGAAAAACTACGATAAGCACGCTGAAACAATCAACAACACAGCCTTCAGGCTACAACTGTGAAAACAGCTTCACGGCAAAGCACTGAACTGCAAACCCCGACTCAGTTCAGTCGCTCTCCAAACTAACATCTGAATTCAAGATACTCTTCTACTCCACGTACAGACAAGGTATATATAGCTTTTAACTTACCTTCGAGAACATTCTCGAAGAAACTGCTAAGAATACGTTCTAGGATGTTCTCGCTCCATCTATGGCATAACACCAATTTTCGCCAAATGTCGCGAAGTGGCCGATTTCGTACCAAATCTGGCAAATCGTCTTTTTCTGCCGCTTTCTGGTAACCCTAATCGCGCAACCCCGCTTTGCGGAGGAGCTATCTCACCGCACTGGGCATTTCGCAACACACACTTTTATTATTTGTTATATAAAATTGTAGGTGACTTTTTTTCAAGAGAATAATTTAATCTTTTGTTCCTGTTAAAACTATATGAATGAATTATTTTTCTGCTTTTAGACTGTAAATTATACTATGAGTTTTGAATAAAACTTTATTTTATTTATTTATTATTATTACTTAACACTAAATAATTATGTATTGGAAAAATCTCCTTTTAGGGAATTTTATGTAGATCAAATGGACTAAAAATTATTATTCAGAATTGAAACACACGTTTGTTATTAAGTAAAGCTAGCGAAAGTATTAACACTTTTATCTTGCTTTAGTTAAAGTAAACATAAAATTCTTATTAACTGCTTTTGTGTTCCTTCTTTCAATAATTAAATTTCTGTATTTTTATTTTTACAGATACAACCGAAAGAAGTAGAAAAAATTAATGATATTACTGTCCTGGAAAAAATAGAGGTAGGTTTTTATACATATGTATATCTTTATTTTGAGACTAAGGTATAAATGCTTTCGAAATTCACTTAGAAGGCAGAAATTAACTGCAATAAACTCAGACTTTTAAGGAAAATACTGTTGAATATGACTGCCAATTAACTATTAAAAATGAATCTTCTTGAGAGTTTAAGAAATCTTTCTTTTATTATTACTAAAGAAGTATTTTTATTTTGTAACGGATGTAAAATGTCTTACCATTCTCTCCAAAACACTTTTAATTTTTATTTATTATATGGAGTTTAACTTCTCTAAAAAGGTACTAAGCAATTAAGAATGTATTATACTGATTTCCTTCATTTCAGAAGTGCTTTCAAAAATCATTTAAATTTCTATAAAACATCACTGTTATCCACATTTTTAAATGAAAAATCTCTGTGATGAATTTCTTTTCATTTAAGAGTAAATTTAGAAATTTTCAAACAAATACCAGTTATTTTGTAGCAAATTTGTTCAGATTATTTTTATTACCACATAAATAACCTTCTTTAACAGAAAGTCAGATGAAAATATTTTCCCGCTCCAGATACAATGTTATCGTCTGCAAAAGTGGGCTCCTTTAAAGCTTGTAAATTCCAATAAAAGTCCCTCCTCCTTGTGTTGTTATTGTTGTTGATCCTTTACAACGATGTTCTTTGCAAACGCTTTACGCCGGCAATTTTCGTCATATGTGTATCGCTCCAACGCTATTTAGGGTTTTTCATATGCTGGAACAAAGTGAGTGTTGCCATTCGAAAATTTGAAATCTTTTCACTGTAATCGTAATCGTGAGAGCACTATTGTTTTGAATCATCATAATCTCTAGAACTTAATCTTCAAATAACAACGTGTAGAATTCCATTTCGACTAGTTGAGCGTATAGGCTGCTAGGAGTTCATACAGTTAGGCTGCTAGAGGTAACCATACTGCTAGGGGAAGTTTTTTTTTATGATCATCCTGTATGGCACCTTATTAAAGGCTATTAATGGCTGGAGCTGCCACATTTATATTCTATTTGATCCGACTAAGGCCTTATTATACAGTTCAATTTTGCTTTAATTATCATTTAAAATGTTCCGTATGTAGACTTCAAAAATTTGTAAATCGTAACACAAAATCTGATTTCTTAAAAGGAGGCTTACTTCTGCCTAATTCCTTCTCTCGGCTTCAGAAAGAAATTGTTAGGTGCTGCAATTACTTTTAATGGCAAGAGACTATTATTAAACTTGAAGCTGTTATTAGTATCGCCCGGGAGAGGGAATCTATTGCAGAAACATAACACAGTACCTCGGACATTCATACTTTGATGGACCTAGAAAGCTGAATATGTTCTTAATACACATAGTGTGTAAAACACATCAGAAGTCAGTGAAAATTTTTGGGTTTACCTAAACAGTTTTCTCTAATGAATAATATTCTATTTCAATTGACATTTCATGGGCGGGGGAAAAAATACCGAATGCATATGCAGTCTATATATCAACAGTACTTTACAGTTGAAATTGCAGTTTATTTAGGAATAGTTTCCTAATAAACTGAGGTCCGCAAAATTGTATTTCATGCTAGGGTAGTTAGAATTGCAGGCAAAATAAAGAAAATTGTGAAAAATGGAGCACATAATACGAAGTCAAAATTCAAATTCTGTTCCAGACCAAGTGTTTTGTTTGACTTGAGCGACAATTGAATGACAGTTTTTAAAATGAGATTCCTCCTTTGGACTCTTCTTCCTAATTTTCCGCTTCGATTCCTTCGATGAACGCCGGATATCCGGCCGACGCTCCATGGAAACTGAGTTGTCTCCATTTCTCTTTTAACCTTTTAAAACTTCGATTTGGCAACAAGCGTAGCGTGCGTGGGCTGTAGCCATTTACCAGGAATTATTTTTTCATTTACATTTCTTTTACTTTCAGAATGTTCTAATCAAAAAATAGTTACGTATCATTCCCTTTTCCTATTAAGTCTTGAAACAATTAACCAGAAACTAATAAGATTTACAAAAAAGTATTAAAAAAAGGAAAAACAAAATTTATTTATAGTACACTTCTATTTTAAACAGCTTTTTGATAAAATATTCGTAATGCTTACTTAAGTTTTTTTTTTTTTTTTTTTTTTTTTTTTTTTTTTGCGAAATTTGAAATCATATTCACTTTGACAAACAGAATAGCAACTGTGTAAATAAACATTTAATATTATATAGAACTTTTCAGTTGCAAAGAAAATATAAAGATAAAGTTACAAATGACCTTCGAGTATGAACAGGAATTATTCTGCTAAACTTTATTTACTGAATACAGTGAAACTCATTTACATTACCCAACCCACTATGGGTGGGGGTGTTCATATATTTTTAGAACGGTTTCGATAAAAAATTTCAAAAAAAAAATATTTTGGAATAACAATTTTTGGCACCAGCTTAATAATATCTGAAATGAGAAATATCGTCTGCTATTTTTAAATTTGTTCTTTCAAAATGTCGCATGTAAACAAATTGTGGATTGAAGGATATATTCCTCCGCTTTACGAAAAAAATATTAATATGCTGTAATTCATAAGCTTCGTGAAATGCATGGTATTAAAATATAGAAGGACAAAGTAAAAAACATTATTAATCGGAAAGAGAAAAATCAATCATTACTTCTACTTGGAAGGAAGACTCCAAAACGAATACTCGAAAAAAGTGCGTACAGTTTCTAATGTTTCTAAAATTAAATCTTTGGTAACAAGAAAAAAATCCACTGACATAAAAATCAGTTGCAAACGTTTAAAATGCATTTGCAGCAACAATAAATAAAATATTAAACCAAGGTTTACAACTTGTACAAAAAGAAAATTGGGAAAAAAAAAAAAAAAAAACAGCTTTACAGTTTTTCCCAATACCACAGTCAGCATGGTAACTGCACAGAAAAAATAAGAATCCACAATCCAGCGCAGTATGCAGTCTAAAAGCACTCGCGGAAATATGATAGCCGCAAACTGCAGTAAGAGAGAAGTAAACATTTTACAATATAAGCTCTTAAATTTTTCTTAATTTAGCAGTAATCCGTTTAAAAAACGGAGCACCAGATATAACGTTAGATTTGTCTCATTTTTCTTTCTTTCTTTTATTTTTTTAACTACAGCAATGGTTATACTATTAATTAGATATATTATAAATTGTGTCAATTTAAGTGACATATTACAAAGTATTATAAGGGACATATTATAAAAATGATTACAAGTGCAATTCAAGTGCATATTTTGTAAAAGAAAGTAAAATAAAGTAAAAGAAGTTCACTTTTAAGAAATATGTATACTGCTTTTAAATCTATAAGTTTATAGATCCTTAAATATTGTATGCTACAGCAATAGAGTATTTTGAGTTAGGGAATTTTTCAGGCCATATCGGTGTTAAACACTGGATAGTTTAATGTAGCATAATGTAATGGAAATGAAAAATGTAAACTATAGACGTTTCTAACATCAAAATACGGTTTTAGTGTTTTTTGGGAAAAGTGGGATTTATATTTTATGTACACAGGTATGGAATTCGGTTTCTTACACAGTTCAAGAAATGGTAAATGTTTACAATTGGGTGCCCCTTGTTTTTCGGCGATTCTTTTTTGACGCCAAGATCGGTGCCAGGAAGGCACAGTTTCAAGCTGGCCGCTACGCAAAACCAAAATAAAAAGTCAAAGAATTGCACAAACTCTGTGTCCATGTACACATTGATCTGTTTTCACTTAAGAAAACATCCCAGAATTGCACAAACTAGGCATTGCACACTGCCCTAAATTGTTCATGTACACATCAATCTATTTTCATTAAACAAAAATCAGGAAGCTAAAACAAAGTTAAAACTTTTATGGTAACCAAAAATCAGGTTTCATCGCCAAAATTAAAAAAAAAAAAAAAAAAAAAAAAAAAAAAAAAAAAAAAAATTTATCGCTGATTGAAGGGGCACCCAATTCTACACTAGAGCCCAAGAAATTTTTGTAAAACAAAACTAGATTAGCATAGATTTGAATAAATCGCTTTCGGGTTCGATGGAAATCAGATATAGATCATTTTTCTTCAGGAGCAAAAAAAATTTGCGAGAGGTATGAGAAGAAGTATTCATTTTATATGGAATTTAATGAGAATAAAAATTTCGTAAATTTTGTATAATATGTTACTGAATGTTACTGAATGTAACATTCAGTAATATTGTTGTATAATATGTTACTGAATTGGAATAGCTTCAAATTACGAAGCTTTTTAGTCCAAAGGGGCAATTTGCCCAGAAGGCATTATTAATTTCGTTTTGGCATTTTGCGTCGATCCACTTTCTGCGTTGACTCACTTTTCAAACTGTTGCCACCAAATGTTATCACCCTGTGTTATATTTAAAGAAATTAAATAATGAAGAATCTCCATAAATATATGTATGTTTCTCGCATTGTGATAAAACAATGGTACCTAGAGCCATCGAATTTTAAATAACGAAATCTTCCACTGAATATGGGCATCTGGAAGCCCTAATTTCGAATTTGTTTTATTATCGATTTCATATTTTGTTTCACTTTAAAGAATTTTGGATTAACAAAGTCAACGATTTCAAACCGAGCAATGACAATACTGCATGGGGAAGGAGGGGAAACATTTTTATCTCCAACGCGCGAGACTGTATCGGAAATTCTAAAGATATGCTCATTTTAAAATTATTTTGCGATATTGCTGAAGAACTGAATTTTATGGTTTAATTGCGAAGAATATGATACTATTTAATAAATTAAGGTAAAACACACAAAACGTTAAAAAAACGCCCCATTGTAAAATCTGCAAGCTTTCCGATTTTTTTTTTTTTTTTTTTTTTTTTTTTTTTTTTTTTTTTTGAAGTGCTTTAGAACTTTTAAGTAGGTAATGAAACATTTATGTTGTCACTTTTTTTTCCTTCACAATTTAAAAGATTAAATTTGACTAAGTTCTATCTTTTGATAACAACAAGCTATCGTTTTAGGTTTCCTGAA